CGTAGGCAGCGAGTCAGTTTGTCGGGTAGTGTTGCTTCAGACGGGCATATCCATTAGGCCGGAGAGAGCTCACGATCTCAAGGGGGATATATCACGTCGGAATGGACATTCTAGCAAACAACTGTCCATTCCGGTTTTACATTAGGTAGAAAAAATCGACGCGAGATGCCCGGTTGTGAGTCCCAAGTGATCTCCAAGACCTGCGCGGTCTTCTTCCACGCCGCGTCGGACTCGAGGCTTTTCCCTCCCAGAAGAATATGCTCAAGGTCTGAGGGTAGGAGGCCCTGAGTTCGCGATTCGTGCCACCCTCGTCCAAGCGGAAGGGGACTTGAGCGACAATCGGGCCTGCTTGGAGCTATCTCAATGCTCAATGGGAGCAGATACCCTAGATCTAAACACCCGAGCGTGAGCCGTTACTAGCGCTCAGAGAACACTGCCTATAATAGCCTCAGTATCAGCTCTGATGACACCGGATCAGGAGAAGACATTGAGGCTCCAGGATAATCGACTCTGAACGATATACTTACAAGATTGAAGACAACTCGGATGTGCTCGGACATGACTAGGGCTACCCGAGAGGCTCGTCCCTCGACTCGCACTGACTGCACTGAAGCCCCGAGCTCAGTGGGAGGGTCAGATCAGAGAAGCACTTAGGTGATCCATTCGATGCAAATATGAAGGGCAACCTCGAGTGAGTGGTGGCAATCCATATCTGAACTTCACGGATTGAATCTCGCCAGGAATTTTTCTCAGCGCTCCGGAATCAATTTACCGATACATTTGTGTTTGGATCATTTGGGTGTGGAAAGCATTTGTGTTAGCTTCGAAGCAGGATCGATAATTCGGAGCTCCTCCCTCGACGTCATGCACTGAGAATATTTCTCCTCAGCATGCCTGAAGGTGATGAGACAAATAGATTCCTAGCTGACCGAAGCTTATCATTAGTTTTAGCGTTGATTGGTCATCATGATTGGATGAGCTTGGTCAGAGTTCGAAGTTGAGCCTTATTCAATTCCCGTGATTTGCGCACGATAGACATC